CTCCACTGGTTCCCTACTCCATGCCGGCATGTTGCATTCATATCTTGGAGCACTGAGTTGAAGTCTGGTCCCTCTTTCCCTGTGGAGATATGAACAGTACCCTCCCCTTGGGTGGGTTAGTGCCTTGTGTCCCTGCTACCCATTTCTTTTTTATTCTTTTTTTTTTTCCTTTCCCCACCTCATTTTTAGTTGTCTGATCTGTACTTTAATAAACAAGTACTATGCCGTTTCTTTATATTATTTGATAAGTGACATTTACTCAGATTGAAATAGTGACCTTTCTCATTATGTGGTCCACGGAGCTAATTTGGAAACAGTAGATCCCTGTGATAGCAAAACTCATTGCCACGATCATATTCTATCTCCTGGAACATAATTATGTAGTCTAACTGGTGTTTCGTTCGTATTTAGTGTGAAATATAGTTTGGTCCACAGCATCACTGATTAAGGGACGTATTTATAAATGACTTGTAATTTATTAAAGGACCCCTTTCCTTAAAACAAAACAAAATGAAAAAGTACTCCGTTAGTTTTTGTGTTAACTCATTTCTGATATGTTCTATTTATTTATTTTTGTACAGCTCAGTGGCTTAATTGTTTATTTTTTAAACCTTCATCTAGACATTTTATTTGTATATTTTTTATTTATAGATTAATCAGATAGTTATATCACTGCTTTGTATCTAGTGTTGTGGTAAGCATCCTAGTATGAAACATAATATGAAACATTTGTATTCCTTGTATCACTAAAAGCAAACGATGACAGGAGTCCTTTTGTTCCTAGAGAAGGAAACGAATTGGTTTTTGTTTTTTTTTAAATGCTGCTTAATTCCTATGATATAACTAATGGTGGGTGGGGGTGTTTGACTTCGTTTCGCGTACTTTGGACATGTTGTCAGGAGAGACCAGTCCCTGGAGAAAGACATCGTATTGGTAAAGTGGAGGGACAATGAAAAGGAAGAAGAGCCTCGATGGTGGATTGACACTGTGGCTGCAATTTCCTTCCATTATTCTTAGGGCCACTAGGAGTCGGAACAGACTCTAAGGCACTGAGAGTTCTAGTCCTGCTTCTTCCACTTCCCAGATACTTGGTGGCAACTAAATACAGCAATGACCAAATTATTAACATATAGCAGTGCTTGTCGAGGTGGGACAGTTTAACATTCATCACCCTGGGGGGCATTTGGCGGTGTCTGAAGACATGTTAATATATTACACATGACAGTCCCCACAGCAAAGTATTGTCCAGCCTAAAGGTCAAGAATGCTAAGGTTGAGAAATTCTAAATAGAGCTAGGATGCTTTCTATTCAAGGATTTGATGTAGATGTTTCCTTTATAATGGCAGATCTAGAGATGGGGAGGTATTAGGGCCTTTATAGATTGCAGGGGGGTAATGTAAGAGTTGTGAACAGAGCTTCCAACTGGTTCATTCCAGTTCAAACCTCTACTGAAAATGTGCCTTTCTAACAAGTTCTCCAGTAATGCTAAAACCAATTCTGAGAACCACAGAGTAGAGCAACAGTACTTAAAATTTACTATACATAAGAACCTCTGGATCTTGTAGAAATGCAGATTCTGATTTTGGAACACTGGGGTGAAACTTTTAGCATTGCCTGGGAATTTGTTAGCAATGCAAATTATCAGCAGGGGTTTGCCATCCTTAGCCCCAGAATGAACTGGTTCAAAGCCCCACCCTGATTATGAGAGATGTTTTGCAATTGTTGTGACTCTGTCCCTGCTACTGGAAAATGTCTTTCTCAGCGTGCCCCCACCCTGACCAAGAGAACTTTGGAAGAAGGAGCTGTTAGATTGACTACAAAAGATTACCCAGAATCAAAATTTTTGTCCTGGAAAATAAGATACAATCTAACAATTAAAAAATACATGTATCCAAGACCTAATGTCATTGTCTTGTGAAAAAGTTACTCTTGAACTCTCTTTTGATGGGTTAATGTTGTTATGGCTGAGGTCCTTGTAAATCTAAGTAATAGTCCATTCAAATGCCCTAAAACAGTGGTTCTCAACCCTCCTAATGCCGTGACCCTTTATTACAGTTCATGTGGTCGTGAACCCCCAACCATAAAATTATTTTCATGGCTACTTCATCATGTAATTTTACTACTGTTATGAATCGGGCAACCCCTGTGAAAGGGTCGTTCGACACCACCACTACCACCACCCCCAAAGGGATCGCGACCCATGGGTTCTGCTGCCCTAGAAGAAGACAGTGCCCTCCTGGCTGATATTGCTATGCCAGGGAGTGTTCAGTTTTAGTACAATGAAAGATGAGCAGAGTGGCTGGAAAGAAAAGCCTTTAGGGGAGGGGAATATCTGAACTGTGTAATGCCTGCTCTTGATGATTTAAGGAAACTATTTGTTGGTTGGATATTTGATGTTAGGGAAGCAGTGCTGACAAGATGGGCATAGGCCCTGTCCAGATGGAGTTTCATTTTGCATGCAAACACTGGGAAATCTGTGCAAATAACTTTGCTTGGAGAAAAGTTTCGTTTTAATTTTCCCTTTCCCATAAGTCGCAAGTGAATTTTTACTGACTTGTTATCAGGAAAATTCAGAATTGATGAATATCACTTTGTCAATCTCACCGGATTTCAAGACTTGCATAATCTTTTGATAAATGAAATATATAATTCTTTATCTACTAATGTGTTTTAGAGCACCATTGCCATTAAATATTAAAGCTATTGAATATGTTTAATTCTCTTTGTGTTCTTTTTCTTGGTTAAAATGACTAAAATGCTTACTATAAATTGCTTCTAAGTTTTATGTAACTCAGATATTTTGTTGTTTAACAATGCATGCCTGGTCTTTGGTTGTAGAGAGTTTAGTGTAATACTAACTCTTGCTTTTAAAATAAACATGTTTTTGTCAGATGAATTGCAAGGTGCACAGTCAGAAATTGAAACAAAACAAGAAATTCAGCATCTCCGCAAGGAATTGATTGAAGCCCAGGAGCTAGCTAGAGCAAGTAAACAAAAATGCTTTGAACTTCAAGGTGAGACCAAGATTGCTTTGATTCTTTCGGGGATATGTGGAGGTACCTTGGTATAACTGGAGAGCCCCACATTTGGATCCCAGAAGAATAGTATGTGTATCCTTTTCCAAATCTACAACTTAATTAGATCTGTGATATTGGGAAATCCGTTTAACATTCTGACCTAGGTTTCACATCAAATGAGGAGAGTTACCTCCTTCACAGCATTGATGTGAAGATTAAGTAGGCCTGTACCAATGAAAGATCTAGATCATATTTGTTTATGAAGCTTTGAGCCAACAAAAGGGGAAAATGTCTATAAATGCCCCAAGTTTGGGGTATACAGAATGTTCGATACTCAATATAAAATCAATATGTGGTCTCTGGACTCACTCACTCACTCACAATGAACTCACTGTGTAACTTGCTCACTCACTCACTCACAATGAACTCACTGTGTAACTTGCTCACTCACTCGCTCACTCACTCACTTACTAAAAAAAAAAAAATGTGGTCTCTGTAATCTTACAGTATAGTCAATAGTAAATGGGAAGAACCAGAAAAAGTTAAGATCTAGAGTCTCCTAATTGTCACAGCTGTTTACTTACTGTAGTGAGATTATGTAGTAGCCAGTGAAGTCTGCTCCCCAAAGGACAAGTGCCCACTTCATTCATAGTAACTACCTGGTGGTGGCTAGCTGATTAGTGCTGTAAGAGAGTCTTAGAACAAGGAGGAAACTACTGGCCTGTGAGTCCTTGTGTTCTATTTAAGACAGCCTTTCTCACCAAGAGCAGGATTCCCACTGTAGGAAAAACCAAGAACTTCTGTTACTACTTTCTTGTGTGTCTTTACCTTGAAAAAATTTGAATTGGTATTCACTTTCACTCAAACCTTTGGAAGATCCAAGCTAATTTATTCAGCTTACCAACCCTTAAGTGTCAGTAGCAAGTATTTAGTTTGCAGTGTTTACTGTTCACTTAGTAGCACACATGAAGATTTTAAGTCTGCTTTTAAAATTTAAGTTCAGAGTACTTTAGTTAGCTTGCGGATAACAAGGTCTAGAAGACGACGCTGCTAAGCTGAAATCTTCTAACTGCTAATAATACTTACTACCCAACCTTTATTTCCTTCAGGAGTCTTCCAGGAAAACAATGCTAAGAAATTTCCAGTCAATTCTGAATATTTGAATTAATCATAGATTTTTTTAAAAATAATAAAATTAGATATACTCTCTTTTCCCTCTTAGCTCTTTTGGAAGAAGAAAGAAAAGCCTTTCGAAATCAAGTTGAAGAATCCACTAAACAAATACATGTTCTTCAAGGTAAGGAATTGGCCAGGTTGGTTTGAGATTGTTACTATTTGCTTATTTGTTTTCAGTTTTACTGCAAAGATTTTGGTTCACTGGTACAGATAGGAACTGGAAACACAGGGAATCCAGGGCGGATGATCCCTTCAGAACCAGTGGTGTGAGTGGCAATACTGGGAACGTAGAGGGAGAGTGGGTAGGAAAGAGGGAACCGATGACAAGGAACTGTATGTGACCTCCTCCCTGGGGGACGGACAACAGAAAAGTGGGTGAAGGGAGACGTCGGAGAGGGAAAGATATGACAAAATAACAATTTATAAATTATCGAGGGCTCATGAGGGAGGGGGGAGCGGGGAGGGAGGGGAAAAATGAGGACCTAATGCCGGGGGCTTAAGTGGAGAGGAAATGTTTTGAGAATGATGAGGGCAATGAATGTCCAAATGTGCTTTACACAATTGATGTACGTATGGATTGTGATAAGAGTTGTATGACCCCCTAATAAAATGGTTTTAAAAAAAAAAAGATTTTAGTTCTTTCCTAGAACCTAAGTCTATAAATGGCCTTGTTGGAGACTTTATTTTTTTAAGAAGCTATAAAGAAAAGCCCGCCCCCCCCCTACTCCCCCACCCCCAGCACCCCAGTATTAGACTTGGGATGGCTAGGGCAGGGGTAGAGATGTGGATATGGCAAGCACAGTCACTTTCTTGGTTACGTAAAGAGTCAACCAAAGAGAAAGCTTTCAGCAAGAAATCTATTTGAACTGCTCTGTGAATCAATACTATTAGCTTGCTGTTGGCATTATTTTTGATCCTCAGAACACTTGTATTGCAACAAAAAAAAAATGCCACATGGAGTAGAATAATCCCTGAATTACCTTAACAGTAGATAATGGTTGCTCTTCACAGTTTGATCTGTGTCAGCTTCTTTACAGAAAGATCCTTGTTACCTGTCAAGTTTTCTTTCAGTTGGAGCTTTTGCTATTATGAAGCTGTCAATGTGAGAAGCCTCAGAGAGCTCTTTCTTTCCATTATAATTTTTTTAATTAATAATTTTATTGGCGGGGGCTTTTACAAATCTTGTAACAATCCATCATTCAGTAGTATGAAGCACACTTGTACATATGTTGCTGCCAACATTTCCAAAGCAATTTCTTCCTACTTGAGCCCTTGGCTATTAGACAATTTTAAAAGGAAATTTAACTTGCCTTCATTGCCAAAGAAAGAACTAATGTTCATTTGAAAAATGGAGTGAAGAGAAATGAAATAGGCAAGTAATCACAGTTCAAAAAAGATGGGGAGTCACTGTAGGAGACCTGCAATATTTGTCCTAAAACATCTGAGAGAAAACCTGAGTTTTTTGGCATCTTTCTTTAATTTTTCAGTTGGGGTGTTTATGTTCTTTAAGTTTTGGGGTTTGAGTCAAATTAAAGTATAGGGAGTAAATTGTGTGTGTTTTATATTAGAAACTCTTTAACCTTACTGTAGATTAAGGCCACCATTCACTAGTTTATTTAGATCTGATTTAGTTGAGTCTTTATTTCCATTTTGTATTAGGTATGGGCAAATTTCCCTATTGGTCCTGTGCCACTAGTAGCCTTTTGTTCTAAAGCCGTCTTGCCCAGACATCATTGAGTGTCCCCTAGTGTCGGCATGTATATTTCAGGACTTGACCAACAAGTGCTGTCATCTTATCAGTGGCCTTTGTGCCTTTTCAGATGTTGAGCCTGTTCGGCCCTCAATCCTTCCTACAAACTTAAAAAGCAAATTTTATGTGGCAACACCCTCTCCTCCCTAAATCCTCTTAATTATTTTAATTGGTCTCTTTTAAAACTTTATTCTATTTAAACTTTCTCGTATGATGGTAGCTAGAAGTGAACCAAGTGTGATTTTGTACAAATTGTTTCCAAATCGTTTGAATCTCAGCTCATGTCATAAGGTGAATTCATTCAGTCATTCTAGATGGTTTACGCTAATCAGGTATTGGAAATAGAGGAGGGACAAAAACAAAGGCCCTGCAATTCATGAGGTTTCCAGACTAGTGGAGATGACAGCAAGCACATAAATGTATAAGGCGATGATGACCCAGGGGTAGCTTAGAAAGAAAATAATGTGGAGCGAAAGACTAAAGAACGACAAAATGCTGTTCAGATATGTCATCGGGGGAAAGCCTATATAAGCCAATTACTATCTCTGAACAGAAGAAGGGAGGAAGCTCATCAAATGTTTCGCTGATGCTTACCATTTGACCCAGAAATTTTATGTCTGAGAGTTCACCTGATGGAAATAACCACCACCTTTAGTGGCCTTCCAGCCTGTGCTGATCCATGGTGACCCATGTGTGTCAGAGGAGAACTGCACTCCCTAGGGTTTCCCAGTGGTGATTGGGAGAAGTAGATTGCCGGCTCTTTCTTTTGAAGTGCCTGTGGGTGGTCTTAAACTTTTCACTTATCAGCCAAGAGTATTGACTGTTTGCACAGCTCTAGGATTCCAGCAAAATGATCAGGATCACACCATAGTAATGCATAACCAGCCTACAATGTCTATAGGAAGTTATTGGTCAAATATGTGATCGTGTAACAAGTTTTATAGGCAAATGTTCATTACTGGTAGATTAGAATGAACCATGCAGACCGTGGTCCCTCCCTACTTAATGTATTTATATATGTGGAAAATACACATATATATAATGTGGAGGGGGGGGGTCTAGAGAAATAAATACCAAAATGTTAAACACAGTTTTCTCTGTGTAGTTGTGTAGTAAATAAAGATCACTTGGTTGTTTTGTTTTGGTTTATATCTGTATTTTGATATTTTCTGCATCGAATATGATTTCTTGTATAGTTTCATTTTTTTCAAAAGCCCCTTTGAAAATATCATACTGAGTAAAATAAGTCAGACACAGAAGGAAAAAATACTGTATGTGCTCACTTTATGAAATGATAGAATCAGCAATGCTTAATAACGAAAGTTTATCAGTAGTTAAAGGGGCACATGACAGGACTTCAAAAAGTTTGTAGAAAATAGTTATAGTAGAATTTTTCCATGAACCTTTTGAAGCCCCCTCACATGCCTCATTAAGCACTAATAAACTTAGGTCATAGAATTGGGAAATAAGGAGTGATTGCTTAGAGGGGTACTGAGTTCCTATTAAGTGTGATGAAAAAATATGGAAATGGATATTGGTGATGGGTGAGTTGCACATCATGGTAAATACAATTAAAGTTACTGAATTGTACCCGTAAAATGTTGACAAATGTTTTGTTAGCCTAGCCTAAGCAGTAGCTACAATCCTAAGTGAACCCTTCTTTTATCCCTAAGAACTAGTTATTTATGCTCAATTTTTTTATGCCCAATTATTGATGATTATATAATACCTTTTTAGCCCAACTGCAGAGGTTGCATATTGATATTGAGAATCTCCGGGAGGAGAAAGACAAAGAAATCACAAGCACTCGAGATGAACTACTTAGTGCCCGAGATGAAATTCTGCTTCTTCATCAAGCAGCAGAAAAAGCTGCCTCTGAGCGGGACACTGATATTGCTTCCTTGCAAGAAGAGCTTCAGAAGGTCCGAGCTGAGCTTGAGCGGTGGCGGAAAGCTGCTCATGAATACGAGAAAGAAATTGTGAGTCTGCAGAACAGTTTTCAGCTTCGATGTCAGCAGTGTGAGGACCAGCAGAAAGAGGAAGCAACAAAGTTGCAAGGTAAGTAAGTGCATTTTAGTGAAGCCCTTTAACAGGATGGCCCACTACTTTGTACAAAACTGTCGGATTGCTTAGACTGTGTAAAACCAGGTTTCTCATATTAGGCCTAGAAAGGTATTTTTCAGGCTTGTAGGTTCTACAATAGTTAAAAACTTGTAAAATAATTAAGGAATGTTAAAATGTGTTTGCTTAATAAAAGTGAAGTGGGTTGGGGGTAACAGTAATCAAGGTCAAGGAAATGGGGCTTTCTTGAGATACAGTTACAGAGAGTAACAAGAATCTTTAAAGTGGAGCCACATCTATACATTTTTGAAGGAAAAAGGAAATAAAAGATTCTTCTCAGAAATATTTCTCTTAATTTCTTAAATTTGTATGGCAGTTACATTCCCACATTAACTTTTTTTTTGTTTTGTGGGGGGGTGATGATGATTCTAGGTGAACTGGAGAAGTTGCGAAAGGAATGGAAGGTACTGGAAACGGAATGCCGTTCACTAAAAAAAGAAAATGTTTTGCTCTCATCAGAACTGCAGCGGCAAGAAAAAGAGTTGCACAAGTATGCAAGAACTCTCTCTTAGCTTCAAAACGTTTCTTTATCTTGAGTTTTCATCTAAATTAAGTTAAATTTTGATACTTAAATATGTTTTCAGAGCAAAATGTTTAGCCAGACAGTTGGGCTAATGAATAATTAAGCTTTTTTTTTCCTGCCACCACCATCATTTTGCATATCCTTCTCTTTTTGGTGTGCTCACAAAATTTAGACTAATGAATTACCCTCCCCCCCTCAAAAAACTCTAAAGAATTGAATTGCAAAAATCCATAACTAGTCACTGACTAATGATAATGAATTTTAAGTAGAAGCTTGTTTTTCTCCCCTACCAGTGATTGCTTCTTTTAGGAAGGGTAACCAGAAGATGACTATAATAATCAATCTGTAATGCTGATGGTCATAATTTTACCTTCTACGTTTCAAAGAGAGTATTATGGCAACTTATACTATAGAAGACCAAGGATTTTCAAAAACCAATGAAATGATTCTAATAGCCAATACTGTCCAGGCAAACTAGTGGATGTGATAGCTTTATTCCACAAATTCAGTGGGATCCTGTTTTCCCACCAATATTTGTTGCATTGTTTAAAATTGATTTCTTGTTTTAAAATTCGGTTCATTTTATATTTTTATATAATTATTGTATTCTAATCCAAAGTATGCAAGTAATAGATGTTTGTTGAAACCATACTTAACTAACCCTGCCTCATCTGGTGTGCCAGAATCAGGGGTCATTACTCTTTTCAAACGTATGTTTACATTCTTGAAGATCATTAAGGTTAGCAAGAATTCAGTAATCAAGGTCAGTTCCTATAATAATTAAGGAAAAATAATAAACCATCCAATAAACTAAGCCACAACAACATAAATCTGCTATCAAATTGATTCTGACACATAATGACTAAACTCCTAAGGCGTTGAAAATCTTTACAGAAGCAGTCTCATCTTTTCCCCTTAGGGTGCTTGTTGGGTTTGAACCTCTGATCTTGTGGTTCAAGAACTGACAGAATAAGCTATGCTGATCTTGTTCCCCTAAAAGCCTGCTTTACCGTACCATGTGTTCTCAATATAAATATCTATAAGATACTCTTTCAGTGTCATGACTTTGCTTAATCTTTGTATACATTTGATTTTATTACTTTGTGAATGCGTAGACTATTAGAATAAAGAATAAAACAAGTATTTTTGACACATACGAAAAATATATACATCGGATATACTCAAATATAAGCCGACCCGAATATCAGCCGAGGCACCTAATCTTACCATAAAACTTGCATTAAAAATGTACTGAAAAACTCAGCTTATACACAAGTATATATGGTATAAGCCCTTCCAAAATATGAGTAAAGCAAAGGCCAACAAGATCAGTAAAAGGTACTGGAATGTGTTGGGCGTCCTGATGGCATAGTGGTTATGCGGGTTGCTAACCAGAGGTCAGCAGCTCTCACCACCAAGGCAGATGAGGCTCTGCTCCCCAGGAGAGCACAGTCCTGACACGGCTACCCTGCCCTATCGAGTCGCTGTGCGTCTGAATCGACCTGATGGCAGTGTTTGATTTTTGTTTGTTTTGTTTGAAGATGCTTCTATGAAGTCCTTGGAAGCATATTTCTGTTTGTGAGTATGTGACACATACTTTTTTTTTGTTACACACACACTGGATGTATGTATTAGTTACGAGAAACAACTTACAGCTGTGTGGCAGCACGCTAAGACAAATCGTTTGTATAATATAGTGCAGACACCTGAGCTCTTTCCATTTTGGAATGCATTAGTATCTTTTATTATTATTACTGGGAGTTAAAACATATATCATAGCATTCCATAGTTCAATCATGTCAAGCAGAACTGTACAATTGCTACCACAATCAGTTTCCAAATCTTAATGGCTTTATTTTATTTGGAATTTTATGAAGCAAGAAATGACTGACATTATCACAGCTGATCACACTGACGTTTTCTTATTTTTAACAATTACTTTAAGATTTATAAGTTACTTCAATGTTTGTTTTTGAAAGCAAGCTTATAAATGCTAAATGAGTTAGAACTTTATGGTTTACATTGATTCATGGAAGATTGTTCCCAGTTTCCAAGTAAATATCACTTCAGAAGATTTTTAAAAAAGAAGTCTGTGGTTTATAAATTCTAGGTCTCAAAAAAAAAAATTCTAGGTCTCAGAAAGCTAGGATTATTCAATCATTGGTCAAGTCATCTGTTTCTTTAGTGTTTCCAGCTTAGAAATTCACTAAAGTTACTTAGCATTTAAGTAGTATTTGGAAGCTAGTCTTCTTTTACAGAGTCTTAAGTGCTTTAATCCGTAATTGTTGTCCTGGCAGCATTTCCGCCTGCCCCCTTTATGCTATCACGGTGGACTTCAACTCAGTGGGAAACATTTAGAGTACTGAGTCTTGTCATGCTGTCTTGAGGGCCATAAAACAGTCCTCTAGAAAACCTCCTTTAGATATTTCTGTAATAAGAACAACAAACAGATCCACTGCCATCAAGTTAATTTGAACTCATAACAACTCTATAGAAGGTTTGCAAGTCTATAGCTTATACAGGAGTAGAGAGCCTTATCTTTCTCCTGCAGACTAGCTGGGAGATGTGAGCCACCAATCATGCACCCAACCCACAGTACCTCCAAGAGTTCCTATTTCTGTAATAGGTGAGAGCTAAATTATCTAAGACAACTAACTATAAGGCTTGTTCTCTGCTGTCTGTGATGCAGAAGAAATCAAAGAATTTCTGTTCATGTATATCAGGCACTTTTCCTAATGTATAAATATTAAGTTTTTTCAATTATCCCATAATTTAACCTGGAAAACAGCCTCTGAAACTATTGAGTTCCATCATCATGTTTGACAGTGAAAGACACAAAGATTCTGTGCTATCCGGGTCTGTGTAACACACTGTCTGGCATAGATCTAAGAGTTCAGGAGAGACTTGCTCAAGGAATGCTTTTGCTCCAGGTAGTGACTTAACATCCCACAACTGGGTAGTGACAGAGCTAGGGTCTAGAACCCAGCTTCCTGCTTCATTGCCCCATCATTCCCTCCTAACTTGGGTGTTCATTATTATTTAAGCAGAATTACCTTTGAGTTGGTAGTGGCTTCTATGCTTTGCTTTTGTACCCTACCCTGTTTGTCTAGTACTTAAACTTGTAAGAAATGGTTGAAATAAGTGCTATTTTCTTCCTGTAGAAGACCTGCAGTGAACCTTCTTAGGGTAAAATAAAATAAAATAAAACAGAAAAAATAATTATCTCCTGTTTCTTTCTCTAAGTCACATCCTTTGCGCACATGAGCCTCCCTTGGGGATCGTTCCAATTCCTTTCCAGAGCATTGCAATAAAGTGAAGCCACAGGGAAGCTAGTCACGGGAGTTTTTCAGGAACATAAAAGTTATGTTTGCATATACTATTGTCTATCACGTACGTAATAGCATTATGAAGGGTTTGAAGTTGTGTCAGAATTACTTAGGTCACAAAATGAGCGCATGCTGTTGGAACAGTGCCACCGGTAGACTCACTCGATGCAGGGTTGCCACAACCTTCGGCTGTTAAAAATTATAAACAAAAGTACAAAAATGCATTGTCTGTGAAGTGTGCAATAAAATGAGGTGTGCCTGTATTTGATTATCTGAAAATAGGACACAGATTTAAGTTGCCGTTTTCCCCTCAGTGTTTTTGTGCTTTTCAATTACTAGAAACATCTCATTCTTTTTCCTTTTCACCTCTAAACTTTACTCCATTTTCCACCTGTGAAATAACAATTTATTGAATCGTGAACCTGACTGGCTTTTTTCTGTTGCAGTTCTCAGAAGCAGAGTTTAGAGCTTACCAGTGATCTCAGCATCCTTCAGATGACTAGAAAAGAGCTTGAGAATCAAGTGGGATCCTTGAAAGAACAGCATCTTCGGGATGCAGCTGATTTAAAAACTCTTCTCAATAAGGCTGAAAACCAAGCAAAGGATGTACAGAAAGAGGTAAAGCGAAAAGACAGGAGCCCAATTCTGGTTGGACTTAAAACCAAAAGCAAGTCAGATATCCCTGCTAGTTTGAAATGAAGGGCAGCAAACGTCACATTCCCTGTCAGAGTGGATATCTGGAGCATCCCTGCTTGGTGATTTTTCTAGCTGCGAATCCTGGTCCACATAGAATTCATCCATAGGCTTTGGCTTCAAAAATCCAAATAGATATTTCTTAATGTTTATCTACCAGTTGGTTAACCTACAAGAAATCCTTTGTACCAAATCATTTGATCCATTGTTTTTCTTTCAACACGCATCATGTTTAATTTAGAGTGCTTTTGGAACCCAAACTAGGGCCACACTGTAATACTTCCCAAACCCCTCAGGTGAAAATGGCCGAAAACGGTAATTAAAATTCACCTCCTAGTCAACCAGCCAATCACATGTTCTTTGACCCTGCCCTCATACCCCATCCCACCGCCCTTTTATCCACCCAAAATTTGCATGTTCTCATTTTCATGTCAGTTTTCTTAAAAACCTAGTCTTGGGTGACTGTGTGTGTGTGTGTGTGTGT